ACCATGTTCTTCTCCATTGAAATGTCTCTGCATTTTGAGTATAACCAATAAACTTCTCTTTATGGAAGCAAATGGGAAAAAAACTACTCCAAAAGACCACCAGGGACCCCTAGCCATGGCTTGTCTATGTCTCATCCCTACCTGGGAGAAACAATGGTTAGAAAAGAAGGTCAAGTTCCCACCCAGCCTCCTGCCTCCCAGCCCTGGCATCAAGTTATAAAATCTCTTTCCCAGCTAGTGTTTATGGCACACTCAATGTAAGTAATATTTTGCTAGGTACATTACCCACAAGGTGTCCAAAACTATTTCTGACTACATAGTTGTTACTGGATTCACCTCATCAGTGGAAAATAACCACAGACCACCCCCAAGCCCCCACACTCCTCAGCTTGCCAAAGAAAATTCTGAAATGACCAGATACCAGCACTGCTCATTCAGTTCCCAGCCTGGGAAAAATTAAAAACTAGGCAGAAAGAACCCCAAGAGATGAAGCAGGGACAAAAAAACAAGGTTAAAGAGCTAAAGTCACTTTACCAAATGACAAGCTGAGAAAGAATAGAATAGAAAGCTGGATGGTGGACAAGCCAGTCAAGTTAGGACACGGGAGCTTGGGCAGTGGCTGGAGGAGGGGCAAGGGCCAGGGAGGGGGTGCTCTTCCTGGTCAAGAGACTGTAAGATCTCTCCTTGGAGAAGGACTGCTCTGTTATGATTTGGGCCATCTTTCAAATGTTTTGAGAGATACCAGTAAGGAAAGATATTTCTTATACACACACACACACACACACACACGTGTGTGTGTGTGTGTGTGTGTGTGTGTGTGTGAGAGAGAGAGAGAGAGAGAGAGAGAGAGAGAGACTTTTGTGATCAGTTGGGACTGTGATTAATTGATTTGGCTCAAGGAATGAAGGGAATCACAGAGTTCTGTTATGACCACTGCTAGGAGTAGAGATAAATTGATATTTACCAAGAGAGAACCTACTGTCTTAGTCCACTTGGGCTGCTATAACAAAATACCATAAGCTAGGTAGTTTACAAGCATAGAAATTTATTTCTTATAGTTCTAGAGGCTGGAAAGTCCAAGATCAAAGCAAGGGTGAGGGCCCACTTCCTGGTTCATAGACAGTGCCTTCTTGCTCTGCCCTACACAGATAGGAGCAAGGGAGCTCCCTTGCACCTCGTTTGCAAGGGCACCAACCCCATTCGTCCCCCCAAGGATCCCACCTGCAAATACCATCACATTGGGGATTAGGTTTAAACATATGCATTTGAGAGTAGCACAAACATTCAGACCATAGCACCTACTAAGAGGCAGATCTCTATCTCATTTAATCTACTCAACAGCCCTCTGAAACTAGCATGTTTATCCCCTTCTAGATAAGACAACTGTGGATGGGGAGATGAAGTGAATTGCCCAAGGTCATAAAGCCGGCAATTAGTGTAGCAGGCTGGAGCTGGGAACCAGAAGCCCTAATGAATAGGAGACACTCTAGGCCAAAGTTGCTATCAAAAGGAGTGTTTTCTCAGGAACTGTGCACTGGGAGCATCTGGATCCATGCCTCATTGTGAAATTGTGGGTTTTCTTGACACTTTCTTAGAAGCTGTCTCAGCACAACAGCTGTAGGGTTGATTTACTTGCAGATGGTCACAAACAGCAGTTCACCAGAGCCCGCATTTTTGTTCCCCACTAGAAACTGATGAGAGAAGGCAGCACACATGGGAAAACTGCTTTTCATGGGCATCCCCAGACACCTTTTTACTTTTCTTCTTTCTCTCATATTTTAAGAACTTTTCCTACCTTTCCTATGCACCCTTTTTCTTTATCTACTACCCAGTTTCCAGGCATTTGACGTTCCTTCCACTGATCTTCACCTACAAGAAATACAATCAAGTATTTTCTTACACAAAACTTGGTAATGTTTTGAGTTATTTATTATCACCCAGGATAAAAGTTAATTGCAAATTATGCTGATCTCATATTTCTTTTATTTTGACAATAGTGGCATGACTGCAGAGAAAGACAGAATAATTGTTAACTAGAGTGAAGCCCAAAAAAGAATTCTGGTTCCTGTGCGACCTCACCAGGGGAAGTGGCCACAATCTCCTCATCTCATTCACTATTTCTATTTTTTTTTTTTGTCTTTTTCCTAGTGAACCTAAAGAGACCTTGCTAAAGAGGATCTTAGAAACGTCCAGTTTGAGTAAACTGAGGCCCAGGACCAACAGATGCTTAGCAGGTGACAACTCCAGGCATCTATACTTTCCATTCTGAGTTAATTCCATGTTCTTCTCTAAGAAGCAAAGCTAGGAGGTAATGATTGGCTAACAGTGGGATTATCCCTTCACCAAGCTAGATCCACTGGTTGACAATTCTGTAAGCTTCCACTCCTTTTTTCCGGCACAAATCTTTGACGTCATTTCTTCTGCTCGCTGCACTTCTTTCTGCCCTACTGGGCCAGTCTGTCTGGCCAGTGCTCAGCTGCATGGCTAATATACACAATCTGGGTTACCAGTGAAAGCCAGCTAGCATTTCCAACATCCTTGTGACAAATCCTAAATCAATGACATCTAAAAGAAGCCTTAATGTATATAGCACGCAAACATACTCCTTCAAACACACACACACGCGCGCGCACACAATCATTGTCTTTAATACTAAAGACAGTATTTCTGCAATCCCTTAGCAGCACAGCCTGGTAAGGAAGACAGTGGCACCCAGTGGACAAAAGTTTGATTGTTTGAGACAGGTGTTCCATTCTGAAATATTCTCAAGAACATTCTTAAGAAATACTAGTTCCTCCCCTTTCCCTGTCCTCTCATCTCATTTTTTAAGATGACAATTTAAATTTTAAAATAGAGGACAAGGCACTGTTCTTACGGTTTTTATCTTTTCAAGGATCAGACTGGACTCAAACACTTGAGGAAAGCAAAAACCTCAGGATTAAATCCTTTGAGAACACAGTGTCTATGTTGGACTGACATGCCTCAACAATAACCAAGGAGGCAGCCAAATCTAATAAAATGTTCAACTTAATTAAAAACGTAATATTGAAAATGCCTACAATGTCCTTTTGCACATCATACTTGCCTTGTCCTCAAACCATGACCAACTTCCAATTCAATTGACTTGGTTATGCAAAGTTGGCAACTTCAAGAACTATATTATAGGACAATAGCACACACAGACCCTGCAGCTTAATACTATAGTGCAGTTTATCTTGGAGTCATAAAAACACCTGTCTTCATTCCCCGCCTCTTCCAATGATTCTATTTTCCGTGACCCATTTGAGTAGAGAAGCCCTGGCTTATGTGTCTTTCTCCCCAAAACATCTACCCAGCATCTTACTTACAGAAGGTACAAAGACGTTAAGTGAAATCCCATTTCTGTTTTATATATTTAAGCTGCTAAACACTAAAAAGAAACATATCTAATTGATTGGTGTCAAATAATGGGATCATCCAGTTAAGAATCTTAAATATTAGGGGCTATTTGTACTGGGTAAAAATATTTTATAAAGAACAAAAGGAATGGGTATATTTATGAGTGAACTGGATTTTACTGAGTTAAATGAGAAATCATTTAAGCCATTCAATCACAAAATAAACATGTATCTTAGTGCAACCTAAAGTTGGTGCCTTCCTTTAGTTAGTTCAAAAATCCTTCCCAGTTTGGAGGCTCTGATATTTTTAGTTTTTTTTTCTTTGAAATGGTACCTCAAGTTCATCATTATGTTCTTTGTGATTGATAATTTTGCCACAGTTTAAGCCCTGTTTTTGTTTGTTTTAGAGGAAAAAAAACAGCTTGCAGCCTCGTACCATGGCTTGAGACTGAGATGGAAACTTTCCCAAAAGGGCAACACACTTTCATTAATTGACATAAGTCCCCTGGTGAGCCCTTGTGTCAGTCACATTTAGTCAGTAAACAACAAACATGCCAAAGGGATGCACTTGTGTTGGTAAGCTAAAAAAGAAATGAAGGCCACATTACAGGTTAATCATACTTCTTTTTCTCACAACACCAGCACCTTTTCTCCCTAGTTTCTGCAAAAGTTCCTATAAAACTCTGATACAATTAGACTTTACTGTACAAAGACACTACCTTTATTATTTAAAAAACTTAACATTAGGTTTTAAAAGTTTCTAAAATATATTCTCATCCAAATGTATCAATCAATGAGAAATTAACATACTTTTATAACATCTAATGGTCTCCTCTGTCCGGTTCCTCCACTGACTGTCACCAAGAGTGAGGGCTGGTGCCCCTGTGCCATAGGGCAGACCCAGCTCCCAGGCAGCTTTGCTTGCTGGGGCCAAGCCCCTCTGCCCAGGAGGAAAAGGCAGTAATAACGGCTGGTTGCACTGTGCCCTGTGCTATGTGCAAAGTGCAATCTTATTGGGAAGTGGTCCAGCCCCTGGTCTGAGTTTCACTGATACCCACAGCCACTGCCTCTGAAATCAGGGACCTGCTGTGGATGCAGAGCACCTGTGCAGGGTGCGGGCCGGGCTCCACCTATGTTCTGCTGTGCCTTTGCTTCTGTGAGTTTCAAAAATCCAAGAGGAAAGTCAATATTTAAAAAATTCTCTTCCAAGTAAACTTTTCTCAAATAATTCAAAAAAAGGTACTCCAATGTGGTTCCCATTGGTTTTATTTAATCTTGGAGCCTTTCTGTTTATAATGCAAATATGCTTTGCTTATTCAGGAAAACCACTTGCTTAAAGAGGCTTTCCTAACTCATGGCCCGTGGTGAATGAAATCAAGTAAAATAGAAAGGTGAAAAAACTTTTAAAGGCCAAAAAGATCCACGCAGATTAAAGTGCATATTGTTATGTCCAAAATGATGAAACACTCTGAGGGCGTGTGTGCATCATGCGTAGTTGCGTGCACGCGTGTGTGTGCTTGCGTGTGTGTATCAACGGGCAGAGGTTAAAGCGTGTGTTCAGATTACACTTGCCATACTGAACACTGAGGGACATCTGTTTCCAGTTCCCATGACAGGCATTACCTGTTCGGATAAAGCTCTAGCCTTTTCTTCTGCTTCCTCCAGGCAAATCTCCAAGGATCTGAGTTGGGCCAAGGTAAATGACATCTGTCCAGCACCCAGGGACTTTCTCTTTAAAACAATAATAAAGTATTACTTTTTGACATAGTTTGCTGAGTGTGTCACAAATAATTTTATAGATTAAGGATAGCTTGATAAACTCACACAAGTTCTCCTTTTTCCTAACACAGTGATAAAACAGCAAAATCTTATAACCATAGTCTTATTTAACAGTTTACAGTCTAAAGGGAGAGTAAAAATTAAATGATGACAATAAACAGTTTTAGAAAGCTGAGATCAAATTACTCACGTTGGAATTGAGTTACTCTGCCACTTTTATTCTTACTTCAAGAGGTTAGGATCAAAATTTCGCATTCCTAATGGGAGATGTCACCTAGAATGCCTGTGTTTTTAACATCACCTATGAAGAGGAACAGGGTCATTGGAACTCGGAGAAGCCCTGTGTCCTCTGACCTTCACCTTCTAGTTCTTATCACAAGTATCATTGAAGCAAAGGCAACCACATGCTTTAGAGTCAGATCATTCTTCCTCAGAGCATGGCTAATGTGACCGAAATCAGCAGATGTGTAGACTTTGCCTCTCACAGTTTTTCTAAAGTCACTTTTTCTCAGCTGCAAGCTGAAGAACATGCAAAATTGGTATGGAAATATCAGTTATAGGCCTTGCTGAAACTAGAGTGCTTCCTAACTACTCTTCGGCTATTGTGATAATTACTAATTACAAAGCAATATGAAAACTTAAAAAGGAAAACTTCATATATGCTAGGATTATGACCTTCCTATAGCTTCCCTGGGTGTGCCCTGTTTTCTTGTGAATACTCCTGCCGCTGCAGCTGCTTCTAATTAACCCCATAAAAATTGAACTGTGTTCCTACATATTTTAAAGGTCTAACTGCTGCTTTGTTTTTTCCTTATGGTTTATGAGACCATGGATTTTACACATGTGTGCATTTCTTGATGATAAAATAGAGCCATCTGGTAGCAAATGGAACCAGTCAAAAAAATGCAGCGTTCATTCAGTTCCTGTAATTTTTCATGCTGTGTGCTGAGCCTTGAGGCTGTGTCTCTGGCCTCTAATAAAAAAGGAACTCTATGGGATGGGGACAAAAAATATTGCTACCTCTCACAAACAACCTGGCTCCAAAGTCAAGCTCCACCACACACAGCTGCACGCCCACCCTCAAAAATTTGCCTTTAAGGGATGGACATCTTTGGCTGGAAAGGTGATACTGAGGGATGACATGAACCAATCATCCTCAGTATCTTACAATGATTCCAGTAATTTCAAGATTGAGTCCAAGAATTCTCAAAAAAAAAAAAAAAAAACCTTAAAATAAAATTCTTGAGTATCTACATTTAGAGAGAAATGCATGCTGTAAAACATTTTATGCAGAAAGTAGGGATTTTCAAGAGGCCAAACCATTTTTAAAAGATTGGGAATCCCTGACCTAGACTGCTATTTCCAGGGAGCATCTCTTTGCTGGATATTTGATCTCAAGAGGAAGTTTTTAAATTTTGCATGAGTAGTCACCTAATCTGTTACTCTAGTCCTTTTCATCCAAACACCAAAAATTTCCACAGCCAAAAAAGACAACCGTTTCCGGTAAGGTAACAGCATTGGGAGGGTGGGGCAAGATGGCTGACTACAGACATTGCTCACTGGACCGTCTCAGAAAGAAGGAAAAGTTTTAGGTGGAAAACAAACATAGCTCAGGTGTAGTTCCGATGGAAAAATGCCAGAACCTACCGGAGACCCCATGGGAAGAAATTGCAGAGCAGAACAAGGAGGAGCAGGATGTCAGCGGAGATCAACCCCCCGGAAACCTGGAGCCCGTGGAAACGGTAGGTGGCGTCTGCTTGTCCTCCTCACGCCCCGGCAGTCGCAGGCCCCCCGAGCTGCTGAGAGGCCCCAGCCTCGCGAGCCCAACAGCGGCTGCCGCCAGTGACTGGGAGCTTCTCGAAGACAAAGCACCAGGCTGCCAGCCCCCTTGGGGTCACTCCCTGTCACCACAGACCTGGTCAAGGCGGTGGGCACCGTGCTGCTTCTCCACCCACTGTGTGCCTGTGTCCTCCCCAGGAGCTTCAGCCCTTCAGTTTTCATGTCCCTGGTCTCCACACAAAGCTCTCCCAACTCCTGCCCAGACGACAGTGGCCACAGGGGCCGGTGGGTCCCCGGGGATCTGTGTGCTCCCGGAGCCTGGGCATTCCGGGCGGGCTGCCACGCAGGGAGAGGGACAGAGGGGACAGGGCCGGCTCTCCTCCACTCAGACCCTTTCCCTCCCTCTCCCCTCCCCCTCCCGCTGCTGTCCAGTGGCCCTGGTGCAGGAGGGTGACTGGGCCAGGGCTCTCAGGAGGAGCCGCTTCCCCTCTGTTCCAGGCTCCTACAGAGAGTGGGCTCTCACCTTTCCTCTTAATGACCTGCAGCAGAACTGAAGGTTGCCCGGACCGTGAGCTCCCTGCCTGCTGGCCCTCCCCGTGCTGCTCGCCTGGCTACCTCAACAGAGCAGGGCATCACCCAAGCAGAGGGATATTAAGCCTGCTTGAGCGCTCCCTGGGCAACTCAAGACCAGCATGTGTCTCCCTGGCATGGTCGGGGATTGAACTTGGGGAACCGGAGGACAGGCATGCAGGCCAGATTCCTGACAGGACTCAGTCATATTGTTCGGAGGCACGGAAGGAAGATCTGTGAACTAATCTTGGGAGGCAAGAGAGCCCATGTGGGCGTAACTAAAAGGAGAGTGCAGTGTGGGTCCCAGCTGCAGTGCATTCATGGAGCACCCCTCCCCCCACAGGAAAGCTGCGCTTTGCGTTTGGGACAAGATCTTAGACAGGGAAGTTCCCAGCTCTGGGCATCTTTGCTGGCGAGGTCAGCTGGTTCTGGCTGCTGGTTTTGGCCAGATGCTAGGAAGATTCACGGACAAGGGAAGAAGAAGAGGAGCAAAACCCACTCCTGACAGTCTGTGAATCCTAGATGGCCCCTCCCCCATGAGCAGATTTTCTGGCTTCGTGGGGCCACTTCAGCCCCTCCCTGGGGGCTTTCCCCAGCAATCTGGGAGCAGACCCTTGACCACTGCCCAGACAGCTCCTGTGCCTGCCTTTGTGGAGACTGAACATAGGCTCATATGACCCACCTCTGCTGTGGTGGAGAATAAGCAGTCTCCTGGGAGTTCCAGGGCCCCAGGCACCATCTGGGGCAATCAAGTGCTTCTCCTGAACGACTAGAGCCAGTCACAGGTCCCAAAAAACACCACTGCAGTTGGCTCTTTCCTGCAAGCACCACCTACTGGCACAAGGACAACCTGTATAGCCCATTACAGCAGTGGTCCCCAACCTTTTTGGCACCAGGGATGAGTTTCATGGAAGACAATCTTTTGACAGACTTGGGAGGGGATGGTTTCAGGATGATTCAAGTGCACTACATTTATGGTGCACTTTATTTCTATTATTATTACATTGTAATATATAATGAAATAATTATACAACTCACTATAATGCAGAATCAGTGGGAGGCTTGAGCTTGTTTTCCTGCAACTAATGCTGCTGTTGATCTGACAGGAGGCAGAGCTCAGGCAGTGATGTGAGTGATGGGGAGCAGCTGTAAATACAAATGAAGCTTTGCTTCCTCACCTGCCACTCACCTCCTGCAGTGTGCCTGGTTTCTAACAGGCCATGGACTGGTACCAGTCTGCGGCCCAGGGATTGGGGATTGCAGCATTACGGAATAAATTGACTCAATCATACAGACTCTCATCCCCAAACACCACCTACTGTCTCAGAGATTAAACTGGGCATCCCAATATAATTCACACTGTTAAGATGACCGCAGGGCTAGGGAAAGAGAAAGAATTTCAAAGACCTCCATCTTCCCTTGACAACAAGAAACAGGGAATCTGCCCATGTACATAGTACACAACCACTACAGCCTAAAATAACTAGTAATCACACAAACTTCCACACTCAGGATTTCTATAACCAAGGTATCCATCTAGAATCTAGACCCCCATCAAAGTAGCCACAAGCAAAGCCAAAGGTCCTTATTCAACATACACTACAGACACACCCTTAAGAGTGAGGGGGAAAAATTCATCTAAACAAAAGAAAATTTAAAAAAGAAGTGATAGATGCTCCAGATGAGAAGGAATCAGTGCAAGAACTCCAGAAGTATGAAAAATTAGAGTAAAAGAATACCCCCAAAGAAGTACACCAGTTCTCCAGCAATGAATCCCAAATAGAAACCAAAAGCAAGCAGCCATTTTCATATCAGATAAAATAGACTTTAATCAACAATGGTAAAAAAAGATGAAGACAGTCATTATATAATGGTAAAGGAAGGAATTCAACCAAGTTTTTGGTTTCTATTTGCATGGAATATTTTTTTTCCATCTCATTATCTTGAGTCTGTGTGAGTCCTTGTGGTTCAGATGTGTTTCTTGGAGACAGCAGATACTTGAGTTGTGTTTTTTCATCCATTCAGCCAGTCTGTCTTTCAAGTGGGGCATTCAGACCACTCACATTGAGTTTTCGTATTGATATGTGGAATACAGTTCAACATGATAGGTGAAACTTTATTGTTTTACTTTCCCTCTTGTGCTATTGTTTTATAGGCAGAGTAAAGACTCAACCCCTATCAGAAATGGAAAAAGAGACATTATAACTGATATTGCAAAAATAAATACTATGAAAACTTCTATGCAAACAAACTAGAAAACCTAGAGGAACTGGATAAATTCTTGGAAACACACAACCTCCGAAGCCTGAATCCAGAAGAGATATAAATCCTGAACAGACCAATAACAAGTAGTGAGATTTAAGTGGTAATAAAAAATTACCAACAAAAAAAGCCCTGGACCAGACAGGTTCTACCAGACCTACAAAGAAGAACTGGTACCTATCATGCAGAAACTATTCCATAACATTGGAAAGAAGAGAATCCTCCTTAATTCATTTGATGAAGCCAGTATCAACCTGGTAGCAAAATCAGGAAAGGATACAATAACAACAAAAAAAGAAAACTACAAATGAATATCCCTTATGAACATAGAGGCAAAAATCCTCAACAAAATACTAGGTAACTGAATTCAATAGCACATCAAAAAGATTATCCACCATGATCAAATGGATTATATACCATGGATGTAAGGATAGTTTAACATATGCAAATCAATAAATGTTATTCACTACATAAACAGAAACAAAAACAAAGAATATATGATCATCTCCATAGATGCAGAAAAAGCATTTGATAAAATCCATCACCCTTTTTATGATAAAAACCCTCAACAAACTAGGCATAAAAGGAGCATACCTCAAAATTATAAAAGCCATCTAGGACAAACCTACAGCCAACATCATATTGAATGGGGAATAGTTCAAAACATTCCCCCTAAGAACTAGAACAAGACAAGAGTGCCCACTGTTATCACTTCTATTCAGCACAGTACTAGAAGTCCTAGCCAGAGCAATCAAGCACGAGAAAGAAAGAAAAAATAAAGCAATCAGGATAGAAGAGGTCAAACTATCCTGTTCACTGATGATATAATCTTGTATCTAGAAAATCCTATAGATTCCACCAAAAGACTCCTAGAATTGATAAATTCAGCAATGTCTCAGGTGACAAAATCAATATACACAAATCAGTAGCATTTCTACATTCTGATAACAGTGAAGCTGAGAGTTAAATCAAGGACTCAATACCATTTAGAATAGCTACAAAGAAAATAAAATACTTAGGAATATACTTAACCAAAGAAGTAAAAGATCTTTACTAGAAGAACTACAAAACACTGATGAAAGTTTGTGTCATAGATGACACAAACAAATGGAAAAATGTCCCATGCTTATCTCATGGATTGATAGAATCAATATTGTTAAAATGCCCATACTACCCGAAGTGATTTACAGTTTCAACTCAATTCCCATCAAAATATCAGTGTTGTATTTCATAGATCTAGAAAAAATAATCCTAAACTTCATATGAAACCAAAAAAGAGCCTGAATAGCCAAAGCAATCTTAAGCAAAAAGAACAAATCTGGAGGCATCATATTACCTAACTTAAATTATGCTACAATGCTATAGTAACCAGAACAGCACAGTATCGGTATAATAGTAGAGACACAGACCAATGAAACAGAATAAACAATCCAGAAATAAAACCATCTACCTGCAACCAGCTAATCTTCAACAAAGCAAACAACAACATACACTGAAGAAAGGAAGCCCTATTCAATAAATGATGCTGGGAAAATTGGATAGCCACATGTAGAAGAATGAAGCAGGACCCCTATCTCTCACCATATATAAAAATTAATTCAAGATGGATTACAGACTTAAATGTAAGGCATGAAATGATAAACATTCTAGAAAAATACGTAGCTAAAACTCTTCTAGACATTGGCCTACACAAAGAATTTATGACTGAGACCCCAAAGGCAAATATAGCACAACACAAACAAATGTGACTTACTTAAATTAAGAAGCTTCTGTACAGCAAAGGAAATAATCAACAGAGTGAATAGACAACGTGTAGAATGGAAGAAAATATTTTTAAACTATACATCTGACAAAGGACTAATATCCACAGTCTACAAAGAACTCAAACAAATCAGCAAGAAACAAACAAATAAACCCATCAAAAAGTGGGCAAAAGACATGAACAGCAGTTTTTCAAAAGAAGATAGACAAATGGCCAACAAACATCTGAAAAAATACTAATCGTTAGAGATATTCAAATTAAAACTGCAATGAGATACCACCTTACCCCTATCAGAATGGCCATTATTAAAAAGTCAAAAAACAATAGATGTTGGTGTGGATGCAGAGAGAAAGGAATGCTTATACACTGTTGCAAATTAGTGCAACCTCTAGGGAAAACACCATGAAGATTCCTCAAAGAAATAAATGTAGACCTACCATTCTATCCAGCAATCCCACTCTTGGATATCTACCCAATGGAAATGAAGTCATTTTATCAAATAGACACCTGCACTTGAATGTTTATCACAGCACAATTCACAATTGCAAAAAATGTGGAATCAACCCAAATGTCCATCAATTCATGAGTAGATACACACACACAACCCATGAAGTACTACCAAGCCCTAAAAAGGAAATGAAATAATGTTGTTTGCAGCAACTTGGATGAAAGCAGAGACCATTATCCTAAGTGAAGTATCTCAGGAATGAAAAACCAAACACCATATGTTTTCCCTAATAAGTGGGAGCTAACTGATGGTACACACGGGCAAAGAGCAGTATAAAGTACATGAGAAACCAAGAAGGGGGAGGATGTGAGGGTGCTCATGGGATGAAAACTTACCTATTGGGTATAATGAACACTATTTTGATGATGGGCACACCAAAAGCCCTGACTTAAGTATTATACAAGGTATCCATGTAACAGAAACACTTGTACCTCTTAATATTTTGAACAAAAAAAATCATTGGTAAGTCAAAGCCAAATGCAACAGGCTTAACTGAAAACTGTTATTAAATAACATACGACTTTTTGTACAGATAAATTTAGGAAATTGTCATGTGTTGCAGAACAGAGAGAGACCTGAGCAAACCATGGAGAGTGCCAAGAAAGTCTAATGCACCGTTACCGCAGCCGCAAGCTGTCACTCCCCGCTCTCTGACCTCCGTTCCCCTACTCTCTTAAGGGAAAGAGTTTATACAAAGACAAGCACTTTTTGATGGGAGGCAACCCTATTAACAAAGAAAAAAAATAATTAAGTCACAAACCACTTCAGAAATAAATAAATACATGCGGTAGAGGTTTTGGCAGTAGGTGTGTGGTTTCAAAGACACTAAAATAGAGGTGTAGTCAGTCATTATCCCAGCTTTGCAGGATGCATGGCAGACAGCAGAGAGACAGGACTTAGACTGTTAATTTCATTCTGCTTCCAGGCACGTGCAGACACATGCAATTCGTGTTAATGATGAAAATGAACACAATCTCAGTGGTTAGAATAATTATCATACTTTTTGTCTTAAAATTATCTACCTAAATATCAAGCCCATAATCTAAATACATGTAGCTAAGGTAGCCAAGATTATCGAATTAAAATAATGCTAAATAATATTAATAATGCAATAAACTCTTTTGACTTCTGATTATTATGCATCTATATTAAGGTCGATAGTCTATTGAACAAATCTTATATGAAATTTTAAGAGTAGATTTCCTTC